ACAGAATGAAAAAAGTTCTCCAGAAGATGTACAATTAAGTAAAAGAATAGCATCTCTAAGAATACATGTGGAAAGATTTATAAGAAGGGTTAGTTAATTTAACAAGTTAAAACCACATTCGTGTGTGAATTTTAAGCAAGTACATTTACTTAGTAATATCTGCATAATTGCTTGTTAACTTACAAGAACCTATTTTGTAAGAGTAAATATTAATTTAATAATTTTTTTTTGTTTGTTTTTTTAATTTAATTTACCTAATTATCACATTTCAGGGATTATAATGAGTTTTTAAACAGCCAATGTAATTTTTTATAAAATTTTAACTTTTCGAACAAATCAAAGAGGAATGAGTACTTGTATATGCATAGATTTTTTTGGGACTAAAACTACCAAAACAAAGGCACCTATTTACAGCAGTTTAAAATGAAACATTTTGACAAAAACGCCTATGTCACAGTGATAAATATTAAAAACAACCAAGTTCAGTTGAATGTGGTAGTAAAGTTTATATATTCCAATAAATCGGGTAACTACATGTGGTATCACTGGTGATAAATTTAAAAATATCACAATTCTTGCTACCTTTTTCAAAAAACCAGAAAGTGTGCCTTCTTATCAATCCTTTATGAAAATGACAACAGTGATAAATGTAAAAAAAAATTTAATGTTGCTATTCGTTATTACGATAGTAAAACATGTTTGCAGTTCCGTTTATTTTTTATGAAAATCTAAGTAAAAACAACCAATGTCAATGGGTTATAATTTTTTTTCTGTTGAACCAAATATATCACAAAATTTAAAAATTGATCATAGGTCAAGCAAGTAATACCTTTATTGATAGTAGCTTTAAAAAAGGAGAACAAAAATATAAAAATCTGTGAAAATTTTATTTATTAATCTTTTAATAAAAAATGAGAAAAATGAAGTAAAAACAATTTATTTACAAATAAAAAATATATATACAAATCCTAAGAATATAAAAGTACTGATTTATTTTCCTGTAGTGGATGAAGAGGTTTCTTTAACAATCTAGCCAAGTGTACATCAATATTTACGCATTTTGATAAATTAGAGCCTTTCCAATAACACTGAATAGATGTTACAGATGGTTCCTCACTTCTTCTATGAAGCCACATATTTACAACCAACTGAAAAAACTAAAAGGGTTAGATATGCAGTTACAAAATAACTATATAACCAGCTACAAAATGCCTTTATTTTATGTAACAAGACGAGCAGAGCTTTACTAGCTCTGAACGAATCCAGTAAAGAACCTCGGATTTTCAAAACTTAAAAAAAAACAATCTCACCACATTTTCACATTTTTGAAATATTATAGAGCTTTTCGAAAAAAACTGCTATTTTTAAAAATACAATTTGTTTAAACAGCTATGTCTCATTTTAGGCTATTGAGTATTATAAAATAAAAAATTACGGGATGCTTTGTTAGCTTCAAACGAATCCAGCAGAGCACCCCAGTTTTTTTTTAAACCACACCACGTTTTTTGGCTCCTACAATATTATAAAATATTCGAAATTTGGCATTTAAAAAAAAATTCGCAATTCCTTGCTGACTTCAAAGTTTTTTTCTGAAAACAAATGTACTTACCACATTTTTAGATTTTAAAACAGCCTAAACATGTGTCATAAGTAGTTGTTTTTATATATAAAAAAAAAAATTAAAAAACTGAAGTGTCCTGCTGACTTTGTTCCAACAAAGCACACCCTGTATTATTTAAAAATAGCAATTTTTTTAGTAAAGTTTTACAATATTTCAAGAGTCTAAAAATATTCTAAAAATGGGGTGTGGTTTTTAGAAAAAAGCTTTAAAAAACCGAATTGCTCTGCTGGCTTCTTTCGAAGGTTAGCAAGCACCATGTATTTTTAAAAATATAATATTTCAAGTGCATAAATATATGGTGTTGCTGTTTTTACAGAAAAAACTTTATAAAATAGAGGTGCTTTGCTGACTTTGTTCGAAGCTATAGAGCATTTTAAGTTTTGCAAAAAACGAGGAGCATAAAATTTTTGAAAAGGGTATAAAAATAGCCTAAAAATATGGCATATTTTATAGGTGCTCTGCAGCATTCTTTGGTATCATAATTATTACTAGGTTCACTAACAAAATCTGTTTCTAGATTATTTTAACACTTGCTGCGATTACAAAAAATGTCTATATGTCAAAATTAGAAAAATTATACACTGTTTATTATATGTAATATAAAAACAAAAAAACATAATAAATATTACAAACCTTGACATGCAGCATATCCTAAGCATATTATGCACTAAAAATTTCATTTTTGTTAATTACAATGCAACCACATCAGAAGGTTTTTGCCGTACTTTATGTTTAGGTGTAATTTGTCTCCTTCTCTCTTATGGAAAAAGAAATTATCCCCATATTCTTGCTTGGCAGATCTAAAAATAAAACCTGAGATAAATATGTTTTACTTGCTCCATATAAACTGTAACTACCTACTATTAAAACAAAGTCTTACCTTTGTGACTTTTGTAAACTGAGTATTGTTAAAAAATGCAGTAATCATCTCGGTAATCATATTTTCGTTTACAATGGGTAAAACACTTCAACTTTTATAAATCCAGCTGATTTATATTAATAATAAAATTAAACCAAAACAAAAAACTAAGGTTAGATGTTACTGATGTTAGGTGGTGTCAATTTTAATGTTACTTAGATGTGCGTTCACTTCGACATTCTGTGTGTTGGTTTGTTCGTTGGCTTGGTTTTGTATAACAAAAAAAACTTCGACACAAGATGATTGGTCTATTCCCGATGACGTATAATTTCAAATTTTAAATTTCAATTGGGCTTAATTTAAAAACTTTTGGCTTTTTTAACGAACTGACTATTTAGAATAACTTGTATAGCGACTAACTATTACAATATAATTTATAAAACAGCATATCTCGCATGTGAACATGGCCCATTATTACTATATAATTTAAAGTGACTTTCTTAATATCTCCAATACTATTTGGTGGCAAGGAGATGAAAGAAACACTGCCATAGACACCACACAACAGCACGGCAATCACGGCATACAATAAAACGGCCGAGAACAGTTGGGCGACCCAGTTACCTGCCCAAGTAGGTGAAAAGAACAAAAAAAGAAATAGCATTGAAAGCAAATCGTTTTACTTTGGCAAACAGTAATTTGTAACTCATACACCGTCAAATCTGCACCGTCCGTCTGTCTCGATTAAAAAATGCTAATAAGGAAGTTCGTTTCTTAAAATATATAATGAGATACGAGAGTTGAATTTTTTTTTGTAAATAAAACGTAATCTCTTTGGGAAATGTAATTTTTTCATAATCATATCGTTTACAAATTGTTTTACCAATGAGATTGATGACAAGGAACGTGAGGCAATTAACTGCAAACATTAAAAACTCTTCTTACCTGTGCACGATATTTTTTGTAAAAGAGAACAAAACGACAGAATTGGAAGACTAACTAGATCGCATTATATCTGCTCTTAATAGATTGGTACAAAAAACCACAGTATATTAATGAACATGATCAATAATGCTATAAACTTTATATGTCACTATAGTATAAAGACATATAATTCCATCGTCGCCAAATTTGTTGGTGAAAAAAGAATAAATTTTGCAGTAAAAGGAGAATATAATGGTCGGTGTACAGCTGCAGCTATTACTTTTGATAAAAAACTATATTCTCACTTTGTTTAAGAAGATTTCAAAAAGTTTCCCTAAGAAGAAAATAAATATGGAAAAACGGTACGAGAATGAGGATTATTTGTTTATAAAAAACCATTATTTATTCTACATATATTTTTCCATATTTTTACAAAATATTTCAATTTGGAATGTAAATAAAACATTTAATTTAAATAACCCTCAAAAAATGTTATTCATAATAACATAATATTATAGTCTAAGAGCAAGTGAAAAGCAGACAACATATTTCAGTAAACCCTCAATTTTGTCCAAAGACTTACTGTTCATGAGTGGGGGACTAGGTAAGCCCGGTCCAGTTAGATTGAGTGGCGCTCAGGTGTAACAGGTAAAAAATTAGATGATATTCAAAATAGTGTTGCATAAACATCGATAGTCAGAGCTTTTGATAGTATCGATAATTTTTGATAAAAACTATCGATAGTATCGATGTACTATCGATAGTTTTGAAAGGTTTTTGAAAAGATCAAAAAGCAAGTAAACTGAGAAAACTTTTATTTCCTATAAAAATGGGTGTCTACTTTATTTTAAGTTTTCAAAAATGAATGTTTAGCTCGGTATTTTTTTTGTCCTAATATCACCTGCCTTTGAAAAAATTCGCTCTGTTGGCACCGAAGTAGCAAGTATACTCATATATTTGAATGTTAATTGCCGAAGTGTACGGCTAGATTTGTGCCAATATTCCAGTGGAGAAGTACTTCTATCAATTACTGGCTTCTCTATATATTGCCTAATATCTATACTTGCTCCACTAACAGGAGTGCTTACTTGTTGATTATCTGATGAAAAAAAGAGTAACTCGTCAATTTTGCTCGTAGGAGCAATAGGAGTGGATGGTTCTGGTAATCTAAGCGGTACAGCTGCCTTTGACTTAGACTCAAGATACGATGCATACTCTTTTTGTAATAATTGCATAGCGTGATCTGCAGTCAACTATATTTGTTTTATCTTGCAACTAAGATTGTGGCAAGTATGGCCGCGGTTCTTGTTGTGTAAGGTTCTAGCCTTGATTTTACTGAATTTGTCAATGATTTTAGTACATCTTTTCCTTCATCAGTGACTAAATTGTTAAAATTCCTCTTGTTGGTAGTATTATCAAAGAAGAAGTTATAAAATGCTCACCCGAAATTGTTGTTGTAGCCAGTTCAAAAGGTTCAAGAAGTTTGAGTATCTCATCTATTGCTTTAAAGTTTTCTGTGGTCAGCGTTGATGGAGCTCTTGGACATTCATTCATCGCTATTACCAATTTAGTACGTATCTTAAAAATTCTTTTCAGCATGAAAAATAAGCTATTCCATCTAGTTTCGACTTCTTGTACTAGTTTAAGTTCCGGTTCACCTGATCTCTTTGGATTCCTACTCAATATGTCATTTGCCAATGTGCTGCTGTGAAAAAATATCGCAATAGCCTTCCATTTAGACAATATTTTTTCAAATGACTTTTTTTTATCTTTATCGGTTGTAAACAGGTAGGTGCTTTCCCCGTGCTCAGGTACTATCTTTGGAATAGTTCTGTGTCTTTGGTTAGTTTTAATAGGTTCCCTACCCAGTGTTCCTAAGGCGTTCTTTCCGGTTCTAGGCCGAAATGGATGAAACGTCGCCCAGTAAGAGCTTCGCATTCGAATACCACATGGTATGAGATTTCTTCCTCTTCCATGCAAAGTCTACACGTAGTGGAATCATTGTGTAGTCCCATTACATGAAGGTGTTTCAGCAAGCAGTGTCCCGTTAGTAATCCCACAATGGTGGATATCTGAGGCCTTGCGAGTTGTAGTGCCTCAGTAGAAATGCGTGGCTTTGGTCCCCTTAGCATGAGCTTACTGATTCTGTGCCCTCTTAACTGTTGCCAGTGAATTTGGTGTTTTGTGGTTATCCACCTGTTTACTGCCTGTTGAGCAGAGGTTTTGCTTATCCCAAATGCAGGTTCGGGTCCTGCGAATAGTAGATCTGATCCCTCTTTGGCGAGTTCATCAGCCTTTTCATTTTCTTGGATACCTTTGTACCCTGGTACCCACGCTAGTTTTACCTTGTTGTGGGCTGCCAGCAAATGACTCTACTTTAAAGGAAACACACTAAAAAATTCAGGCTATGATCAAAGCATGGCAAATGTAGAAGTCGTAAATTGCTTGCAGTTTTTACCATACTTGCAGCATTGTCTGTAACTATAGCCACTATCCTATCACGAATACGATAGTCAACAAGTATTGCGTTGATAGCCTGTAACAAAAAATAAAGTATAGAATAATGATACTGTAAAAATAGTTGTATATATGCCATTGCTTCAGCATTGTGACTACCTTCAATTTTCATTACCCTCAATAAAGGTGATACTAATTTTCCTTCTTGAATATAATGACATGCCACTGCTAATATTCCCTTATTAGAAGCACCACATGTCGGTTGTAATCATAGAAATAGCTCCATGGTTGTAATGCTAATAAAATTACATTCTGATAGTTCCCTTGACTATTTGTTTTTGATTTTGAATGGACCAAAGATGTTTTGAGGGTCTCTCTATTCGTTCAGTGCGAAGTGATGGTAGGGGAAGCAAAAGCGATACTAGCGCTAGTTGCGAATATTTCGTGCATTTTAGGGCGATATTTTGTAATTTTGGCATATCAAATACACGTATACATTTCTTTTTTTTTAAGTAGATAAAAACAATACAATTAGCAACCTGAGTTGGTTAGTTGAAAATTGTAAAAATACTAGCAAAAAAACAGTGAAAATTATAAAAAATTTCGGTAGCAAAGTGGAAATTTAATCAATATTAATATAATTTCCATATACTTTTATTAAAACTAACATAATATATACTTTTTAATTACGAATTCCCATTAAAAATTGTATTGTCAGTATACGCAAAAATAGTCCATTAGTACATAAATGAATTGGCGCTGCCATGCACGGAGCGAATACTACAGAGACTGTATCAATTAGTAAGTTCGTAAACATACCTAAAAAACATCCAGTGCCTAGGTGTGCAAATTTAACAATTTTATTATTGTTTTTTAGGTAGTTTCTTAAACAATTTTTATTTTGATTTGCAGGTTTACTGCGAGTTTTATAATGGGAGACACGAAAAATACTACTACTTGAAGTTCGGATTTATTCCATCTCTGTGAAATCAAAAATTGCCGATGTGTTTCATATGTATGCTGTCCCAGCAATTCATTTTGTATTGCCCCCAGTAGTTACAGGATTTTCCCCAAATTAAAAGAAAACGTAGGAAAATGTTTTCCAGTAACGATGAACTAATGCAAGCTGTAAAGAGGTGGTAGGACAAAATTTTTTTCAAGAGACTGTTAAGCTGGACAAGTACATTAGTGTAGAGGGAGTCTATGTCGAAAAATAAAAAAATATATAATGCCACTGTAGTTTTACTGTCAGGGGTGCAGCATAAGGATCCTCCCTGGAAAATAGAATATTAGTAACTCACAAATATAGCAATATAATTGTTAATTCTTCAGTAATTTAATTATGTTTATTCACTACGATTTTATAAATATTGGTTTGGTGTAATTTATAATATAAGTTTGTCATATATTTGTTATTTTATCGGATATTTGTAATTTTGTCATATTTATTATATTATACGTACTATTTTGAAACCGTCGAATTATTATTATTAATTAAACCAATACGCATGTCTCTCTCGTTCTAAAGAATCATCTGGTGAGGCAGACAGTATTTTCTATTCTAAATGACCAATAAACTTCATGATATATGAATATACATTCTTGGGTCACCTTGTAGATATTTAATGTAAAATCCGCGAAGATTAATGACGAAAGAAGTATGTCAACAATCTTTTCGACTGATAATTCTTAATTGCAGATTGAAATATTGAAGTCGAGGCAATTAAGGAGTAATATATCAAATTATTCCTGGTTATCGTTCACCCAGAGGGATAATGTACCTAATTCTCACGTCAATCGATAATCAATTTACAGATTGCACTTAAATTTATTTCATACTCAGGTCCGTACTTTAAAATATTAGGCAAAACCTTGTTATTTGATAGGTAATAAGTAAAACTCGTTAAAATAACCTTTTTTGTTAAATAATATTGTTAAATAATCATCCAGAATATCGTCTGTTAAGATTAGAAGTAATACCGGGCCTATTGCATGTTCTTGAGGTACACCACCAGACTGCAATTCTTATGTAATATATCTCTCTATTCGGTACGTATCGTGTCAAGTTCACACACAAGAATCACTGTGCAGGTGCCCTTTTCAAAAGTATACACGCCTTATAAGGGATAATTATCATATTTTCTACTACATTTATATTACTATTCTGGAGACTTTTTTTGATAGTTATGTGTGTTTAATTTTAAATACAAATTGTTACTTTGGTATCAAATCCTTTTTCTCTCGTTTTTTAAACTTGACAAAGCCTCTTTGATACACCTACCCACAAACTGCTTTGGTGACATTTATATCGCGAACTGTCATGTCACTTTACAAATATATTTCTGACAGAAGTGTAAATTTTATTCAATAATATTTTATATTTTCTATTATACTGTTTTATACCTCATCAGAATTTATTAAAAAACAAGATGGAGTTTAGGTTTAATGTAAACGAAGTGTTCAAACAACCAATCGTTGAAATTACCAATAATTTAATTCCTCCTGATTATACTGGAAATAGAAGGATGTTGACTGATACTGTTTCAAAGGTAAGTAATTTTAAAATCATTTTAAGCCAGTTTAGTCATCAAAAATTACTTGGCTAGGAATAGGAATTATTTCATAAGGTATTTCTCACACCAATTTACTGTTGACTAAGATATTACATCAACTAGTAACAATATAAAGAGTTTCTGAAGGCATAAGGGTATATGTTTATTATCGGAGGAGATTTCAAGCCTAAAAACACTCAAAGGGGATCTAGGCTAACATTAACTAAATGTAAGGAACTTTTACTAACATGTAGTCAATATAAATTTCAAATAATGTCAACAGAAGAACCTACATATTGGCCAACATATCCTTGAATAATATAAACTTTTATAGTCCGAAATATGTCAATGAACTACATTCTCATAGAAGAAGCCAATGACATATATAGTTCATATAGACTGCTTATTCATACCACTATTGCAGTATACATCTATCGCAGTATGTTTGGGTTACATCCCCATCGTTTACCTGCAATGTTTCTGCATACCATTAGGGCTTTTGTAGCCTTATTTACTACTTCCTTCTCATGTGTGTTTCAGAGAAGTTTGTTGTCCAGGTTAGGCCTAGATATTTGACTTCATTTTTACATTCTATATCTATCCCGTCTAATTTAACGGTTTTGAGATTAAGTTTTCTTTTCCTTGAAAAGGCTACTAGTGTTGTTTTTGTAGGGTTTATACTAAGTCCCACTTCACGGCACCATCTTTTGGTATGTTCTAGTCCTTGTTGGATTATATCACACAGGATATTACTACTACTAGCAAATATTAATATGTCGTCGGCATAACCTTGACAGGGTATGCCGAGGTCAGTCAATCTGCATAGAAGTTCGTCTACGATTAGGCTCCACATTAGTGGGGATATAACTCCTCCTTGTGGACATCCTCTGGTTGTGCAGATGGAGATGGTGTCCTGCCCTATCTTTGTCTCTGCAGTTCTCGTAGACAACAGCTGAGCCATCCATCTGGATGTGATGTTATCTACTCCTCTGTATGCAAGTGCTCTTTTTACAGATTCGTGAGGCGTGTTGTCAAAAGCTCCTTCTATGTCTAGGAAGGCACACACGACCGTTTCTTTGTTTGACAGTGCATCCTGGATTACATCAGTCAACTGTACCAGGGCAGTTTCTGTAGATCTTCCTGCTGGGTACGCGTGTTGGCTGTGGTGGAGCGGCACCCTCTCCGAGACTTCTGTTCTGATATAATTATCAACAGCCTTTTCCATTGTTTTTAATATAAAGGATGTGAGGCTGATTGGACGGAAAGATTTAGGATGTGTGGTATCCATTTTCCCTACTTTTGAAATAAAGGTGACTCTGGCCCTTCTCCATGCTTCTGGTATATATTCCAGCTCCAGACTGCTTCGGGATAGCCGGATTATGTGTGGTAGTAATTCCTCCTGTGCCTGCTGAAGCAGGGCAGGAAATATTCCATCCACACCTGGAGACGTAAACGGTTAAAAAGTGTTTACGGCCCACCTTAAACGATTTCTGCTGCATATGTGTTTGGTCACTACAGCGGCCTCTCTTGGGGGTCTGCTTACCTTAGTTGTGTCCCTTATTAGAAAAGGTGTGCTTCCAGAAAAGTAAGTTTCGAGTAAGAGGCGGGCTCTTTCCTCCTCTCTCTGTAAAGCTTCCATTTGGTTTCTTTAATGCCATAACTGTATCAACTCTCCCTTTTGCCAGGGCCCTGTTCAGTCTCGCTGCCGCAGGTGAAGAGTTAATATCCTCGCAGAATTTTATAAAGCTGTTACGTTTAGCTTTCCTGATTTCATTGTTGTAGGTAGTAAGCGCCTCGGTGTAGCTCTGCCAATCTCCGCTGTGCTTGGCCCTATTATAGAGCTTCCGTACTTCGGATCGTAAGTTTGACAGATGACGGTTCCACCAAGGAGCATCCCTACTAGTTCTATTTCTTTGAATGGGGCAGCTTGATTCATATGCCTCAAGTATTGCCCCATTTAGTTCTTCGACATCGCTTTCCAGAGCAAGTGGGTGCCTTGGCCCCTTTTTTGTCCTAAAGTTAGTTACATGCACAGGAGTGTAAAATTGTTTACAACTATGTTCAAAATTGCTCAGATCTCTTAAAATACATAAACTAGACTTTACGACTCAAACAAATATATATTCTTTTTTAAAATACCTAACGCAAGCTCCTGTCTTGAAGTAAATATACGAGTAGGTAATTATTTTTTTTTTATTCAATTCTTACTTTGATAATATATGAGTTTTAAACTCATTTTAGCCATTCTGTCTGGTGAGCACTCGGCAAGGTAATATGAACGACTGCAATATAACCCGCTTTACGTAGTCTTGTGTATATATGGATAAGCAGTCTATTAAACTATATGTCATTAAGAAAAAACGGGGAATATGAACTTAGATTATTCCCCTGTGCTTCTATTGTATGGAAACGCCAAGAATATTAAAATTATGTTTAACAAAAATACATTTCAGAATTATACGGGAAGAAGCATATTACCATTTGTTAATGGCGACATCATTGATTTCTCTCCATTTTCTGTATTCTAGATTATTATTGGACATTTTTCCGGATATATTTTTTAAAATACCTAGTGATTTTATTTGGTAGGTACGTTAAACATATTTGTTTTTTAGGTAGGTGAAGTGATAAACGAATTAGGTTTTGCCTCTGCAAAGGCCCAAGGGCTATCAAGACCACTAACATCTTCCGATAAATTGAAGAATTCTGAACATAGTGTCTATCTAGCTGTGGATGATCAGGCGAATTATGGCAGAGGTGCCGTTGCTGGCCTTTTAAAAATGGGCAGTAAGTACAATTTTTTTTGTACTCATGTGGGATTTTAAAGCTATCCAAACCATTTCAATTTGGTTAAAAACTGGAAGTTATAGTATGGCAGGAGTTTTACTACTTCATGTCCTTCATCACGTATTATTTTGTCAATTTCATATTTTTTAAAACTATGTGCATAAAGAGGAAAATTTACATTACAAACTGAAATACCTGCGGGGCGACGGTAGTTTAGTAGGTATAAAAATTACAACTTTAGGGTGGAGCCTAAGTACTACAAAATTACTTCCGAGACTAAACAAAATCCGCATTCATTCATAATTTTAACAATTGCTTGTAGATACGAGGGATACGTATTCCAAACTCTAACGCGCGAAATTAAGAAAAAAGAACCGAAAACACCTAACACGGCTGCCGAGTGAGTCAGAGTTACCTAAATTAGGGGAACCAGAATCGTATTTGTTTTTCTCGGTGCATTGCGAGATATTGTTATAACGCAGTTCGATTTTTAGAGGGTTTTACATTATTTTTATATTTTAATTTAGTGAATAGGTTTAGTTAGATTAAATTACATTTAAGAGTATAGAGTTGTGAAATATAAATACAAATAACGAATAAATAGACGATTGGTTCGAATAAGGTAATATCAATTAATACAGGGTATTTATTAATTGAGTGCCGATACTTAGAGGTGTGAATCCTTTGGGAGTTAAAGTTTAAAAAAAAAAAAACTATTTTATCATGTTTCTTATCACTCTAGATATTTTTATGAAATTTTGCCCAAAAAAAGTGTTTCCACTCATGGTGGGTTCCTACCAAATTTCAACAAAATATCAAAAGCAGTTTCAATATACTGGTTTTTATTTTCTTACCCGAAAAGGGTGCTTTGTACGAAAGTACGTCATGAACCAAATTTGCTCCAAAATAAATAAGGATTTTAAAGATAATTTGGTTTTTAGAAAAAGCAGTGGCGCACCATATTTTTGTTCAAAAATATTCAGTTCAAACCCGGTACGGACGTCACTGGTAAAAATTTAAAAGTCTTTTACGACAAAAGGTGAGATAGAAAGTGAAAGTTTAGTCTGTTATATATATACTATATTTATATATCTAACTTTTATTATTACACTGAATGTAATATGGCTTTTTTGTTTGCCTTTTTTGGATCAACAAAATATTATTTAAATGATTTAAAATAAACTGCCAGTAATAATAATTATGTGTACTTAAACATATGCAAAGAGAAATCATAAAACGACGCATCAAGAAAGCATCAAATTATTAAACTTTTAATTTACGTAAGATGTATTAAAAGTAATTTTAAAAAACCGACTTTAAAATCGTGCAGATGCCATCACCACATCTGAACCAAATTTATATGGGACCACCCCTGAGGTACCCCCTTACTAACGAAAAGCATTATAGAAATCGGACAAGGTGGTAAAGAATTATCGCTAAACATACATAAAAAATGAAAAGTTTGAGGATTTTCCCATTGACCCAATTATTAGATTTTGACCAAATTTTCAAGGGACCATCCCGGAAGTACCCCCTTTTTCAGAATCATTTAAATCGGACATTGTGTTAAAGAATTATCGCTGAATATACTTAAAAAAAATATATACAGACGAATTGAGAACCTCCTCCTTTTTGAAGTAGGTTAAAAAGGATATAATAATCTGTATTATTTGTATTAACTAAAAAACTACTATGTGGAGTTATATACATCTTCTTAAATTAATCTTATATGTAAAAATTTGGGTTCGATTCCTAGAAGAGTACCTAGTTCACTGTGCAACCAAATTTATATTTATGGTACAGAATTTTTTGAATAAATAAAGTTTTAGGTTTAATTAAACACCAAGTTTTATCAGGAATAACATTTTCTGAAAAAAGTAACATAAAACGCAGACTTTTTGCGAGCCACTATATATATTTTAGAGGACAATCCATATTATTTTAGAAAAATAAATAAAATTTTTGTATAAACACATAAATGTGATTTATCTTTTAGAATATTTTATATGTTTGTCAAAGTTTACTGATTTAAAAAAAAAGAAATATTCTTCAAAATTTTTCTTAAATTTTTTAACACGGTACAAAATACCTCAATCCGTTTATAGTTATCGAAATTAGTAAAGAATTTTAACTCGTTTAAAAAGCGTTCTTTCTCTTTCCATTTCCTATAAAAACTAATAGACCTTTTTGAAATCGGTATTAGGTGACTTTTCTTCTGTTTTATTGCCTTGAAAATGATATGATTTACATAAAAAACAAAAACTGACTTATTATTTTTGTGAAATAAAAATATGTTGTTATTTTCACAATGTTCTTCTGTAGATATTAACACATTGTTTAATTGGCTTTTTATTTTTTTTTTGTTTTAATATTCTTTAGTATTTTCATAATTTGTGAAACAGTATAGCATTGAAACTTCTATACCTGAAAAATTGTGAGTACGCTTTTAATTAATTGTCTATTTTTTATCTCACAATGTCTCGATAAGAAGTTATATAGAAAAAGTTAGTATTCAATATCATCTAGACAAAAAACAAAAACATGTTTAAATGAATATATTAAATAAATTATGAGTATTCTTTGTATTATGGAAATGTTTATGTCGACAAACTTATGTTCGATATTTGTATCAATTTGTAAAAATAACTCTTATATAATGATAATATTAAATTTAAAGGTTTTAAATAAGGACTTGCAGATATCACAATTCGAAATTTTTTTTATTGGCCATAAAACTTTTTTTGGAATGAAAGCATTAGTTTCTGTTTTTCAGTTAAGCTCCATAAATTCATATTTTAATCTGAACGCTACTTAAACACAGTAAAGTTGCAACAACTAAACAATATAGTGAACTTTTCGAAAATTTCTAAATGAAAATCAATTTATATTTAAAATTAAATAAGTTAACTAACATTTTTGACCGTTATGAAGTTAATAAAGTTATAAATAACGTCGTTACAAAGATTTATGTTTGAATTTTAAATTTCTATTGATAATAGTTACTCATCTACGTATTACAATAACAATACCTACATGACTTGGCTTTGACACAAAACCCTGTATAGTAAAACTTCTAATCCGAATCAAAATCTTGAAACTATTATTTGGGGACTTAAAATCATGGTCCACTAGTTGGTGTAGCCTTTTAAAACATTTGGTATAATAATAATAATAATTATATATCATCAATTACCACTGCCACTGGTAAAATCTTAAATTTAAAATATTGTATTATAATAATAAGACATTAATCATATCTTAAATGGATCGCCTACTACCATGTTTTAGAAATAAATAAAATTTAATTCTTAAATTAATAAAAATATTCAAAATAATATAAGATTCTTTGCGTTATGTTAATAAACATTAAACAAAATTTCTCACGAATTATTTAATATTCTGTCCCGTACTTCCAATTCTCTATTGCTTCGCTGTCAACAAGTTCCGGCAAGACATATTGCGTATAAAAAATTTTAATTTTATTTTGTATCTTTTCTTCTCAAAAGCTGTCAATATGAGATATTTTCTCCACTTTTATTCCTCCAGAAGTCCAAAAGCACAAAAGCACAAAATGCAAAAATCCATTTGTGTTATGTGCAGCTAGCCCTGAATTTGAAAATACCAATAGTGGTTGTCCTTAATGGAATTGTTCTTTTTCCAAAAAGTTATTTCTCTACTGCATATTTCTTCTGCTACAGTCAGCCCTTCAGCTCTATATGGACATTTTAACTCTATCATAGAGTTTTGTTTTTTTTTTAATTCCATCCAGACTGGCAGCAACATAATCAAATTCGAATTCAATAAAATGTCCACATTTAAAAACTTTTACTTGCAAATAAATTTCCAAATCTTATTTTGCTCTGAATTTATGGTCCATGCCATATCGGGTGGCTTTAGAAATAAATAAAAGATTTTAGGAGATTTTTTACAAATTTTTCCAAATTTTAAAGCAGTGGAAACGAGTCTTTTATTGTACCACAATGCACAATCAGCTTGTTACAATCGTTTTTCTCTCATTTATAGACATTGGCTAACTTTTTAGAAAATTTTCTCTTGCAACGCGCCTCAAAGGGTGCGGCAGATCAAAGCCATGCGCGAAAGCAAAAAAAAATATTTACATTACTTTAACGGATTGAAGAGATATAACATGCTGGAATTAATAATTATTGTTGACTCGAAGAAGTATTCATTAAACAAAAACATATAATTCACATCTCAGTGTATACCTTCTAATTTCGTGTATATATATATATTTTAATAAATAAATGATAAAATTAATTTAATATAATTGAGCGAAATTACTGTGTGTAAAAAATAACAACATGAATTCAAATCACTTACGTATTGTTTATCACTAAAGAGTAGAAAAAGATATATATTTTGTTGGTATCGCCTTCTAGACGAAAAAGCTTTTAACGTATATCTATTTTTATTGTAATAAAAATAAATGCTCCTGTAGGCAAAAATTAAATATATTTTTCTCTTCTAGCATTTTTTAACATTTCTTTTCTTAGATTTTTTCAAAAGAGACATATTTTTAAAGTAAATCCGGAGAGGTATGGATTAAGCCTTTACCTGTACTTACATAAAATTTCTTTTAGTAAAATTAAAAAATAATCCGTAAAATTGGTGTACTATGAAACCCTTGCATATAATATATATATGCTAATCTTAGTATTACAGAAATAAATTACGTAAACCATAAGGTGTACAAATACGTAAAATTTATTTATCCCTTGTAAAATATCAGTAAAATATATTATAAATTGTTTTCATTCACAAATATTAATTTCTTAAAAATCTAACAGAGGCGCCACTTTCCAGACGAAAAATCTTGCAGTGTAAGGGTTTCGTAGTACCCCCACTTTTAAAGTTTATTTTTGACTATTTTTAAAATAAAAAAATATATGTGTAGGTAAAGGTTAAATCTATGCTCCTCTGGAACCACTTTTTCAAAATACAATTTAGTTTTTTCTAAAAAAAATTGAGAAAATGGGTAAAAAAAGTCGAGATTTGTATTTTTTTTTAGAAAAAACAGTTTCAAATTTTAAAAAAGTGTTTCCAGAGGAGCATAGATTTATCCTTTACCTACACGTACATATTTTTTTCTTTCAGAATAAGTCAAAAATAAACTTTAAAAGTGGGGTACTACGAAACCCTTGCATGCTCCGCTCTACAGCCAAGTAAATACTCCTCCAATATTTGGTACGATAATCGGTCACCAATCTTTTATTTTCTAGAAAAGAGTCTGTACGTGTTTGACAGACAAGGAAGAGAATACAAAGTCACGGCACCGTTCCTGTTCGATTTTTACGTACCCGAAAACAGACAACGTATGGGTTGGGGGAAGTACCTCTACGACAGTATGCTTTTAAAAAGAGACATCGATCCAGTACAAGTTGCGTTTGATCAACCAACGAATCCGTTGTTAAATTTTCTCGACAAACATTACGGCATGAAGGATCCCGTTAAACAGAATACGAATTTCGTGGTGTATGACGGATTTTTTCCCAATCAAGAGGTGCATATCACCCCGCAACTTGAATATTCTGATGATGAAGACGAGGTAACAATTATTATTTATTCTCTTTAATCTATAGATAGGCCCATTTCTAGTGAATATCAATGGCATATTTGGTTGAGCTGGTATCTAAAAAATTACTAGAAAGCATATATATCTCTTGAAAAATTACTTCGAGAGCATTTTTAGTAGATATCAACTACACAGGTTCAATTTATGAATGGTTAATTATTTGAACCACTTGCCACACTTACTATTAAGTGTGTTTGAATAAATTTATGAATTGTATTTTTGAACTACTCTACAGCAATTCACTAGAACGCGTTTAGATGTATATAAAATTTCTCTGACTGATTTTAAGGTGAATATTGTGTGTTTGGAGGAATTTAAGGATGGTATATTTAAATTACACCCTAAAAACTTATTAGTAAAGGATTTATAGGTATCAAAAATTACCGTATGGCAAGAGTTAAATATATGATTAGTACATTTAAAGTACTCTTGTATGTCTTAAGTGATTGCTTACATATGACCCTATCATGGAGTCAGAAAGTTACGTCGAGGCTGGTATGGGAATGCATCGAAGAACTAAGAACACTGGCAGACCGAAATAGAGTAAAACTATTTTGGGTGCCAGGTCACCAAGGGATCGAAGGCAACGAAAAGGCTGACGAACTTGCAAAAAGAGGGTCAGAAGAAACACCGGAACCAGACACAAACCCAGGAGTACCAAAAAGTACAGTCCGAGGTTTCATAAAAGAATGGATTCGGGAACAACATATTAACTATTGGGGAAGCACCCCGAAACAGGCACATGGAAAAGCCTTCATAGGCAGACCATGTCCCAAAAGAAGTGAAGAACTACTCTTTATTAATAGGAAGCAGTTGAAAGTGATAACAGGGTTCATGACTGGGCACGCCCCAGTAAAGGGATACTTGAACCAAATTGGCATGTACAATGGGGAACTTATGTGCCGACTATGTCACAAGAAATCAGAAACGTCTAACCACATACTGTGCGAATGCGAAGCTCTAGATTGCAAAAGACAGGCACTTATTGGACAACTCCAGGTTGATCCAGCAACGTATAGAACCCACTCACACAAGGATCTGTACAAACTTGTACAAGGTGACAGAGTGGGTGCTATGAACTAACATGGGGTAAAAAAATAAGCCAATAGGCTTCAGTGTTATTCGGAGACATAGTCAGATGAACCCAGGAGAAAAAAAAATCATGGTGAGTAACAAAGCCTACACAGAACACCAAATGCCGAATAGCAACTATCTTTTTCAGTTTGCCTGCAAGAGTATTCCTCTGGTAATATCTTTTAGTTAGAACTTCTTTAATCTCACATTTCTTTGTTTTTATTTTATAGTTTCGTACCATATTTACAGCTGAAAAAATGCAAAATAAAATATTAGATTGTTTAGCTTCAAAGATTTTTATTGCATTACAAAAATAAAATGTTCATGGGCATGGGACTGGTGAAAAATAATATTAAGGTAAAATCATATGCACAGCTTTAGAAATAATTTAAAACTCTATTGTAACATGTACTCGCAATTATAACTTTACTTCAAAGAATTTTCTTGTATAATATTTAAAATAAAACATTTCTTCTACATTTGTTGCCTTTATTTAAAATTTTAAAATATCAAGATGTAGGCTACTAGTTTAATATTTTGGAAAAATGTGTTGCCTAACCTAGTAGTAATTGCATCAAAATGGCTGCGCCCTCTGTTGGGCGTGTCGGACGTCTCTCTTGTACTGTATATTAATCAAAGTATGTGTGAAGGGTACAAATCGTACGACAGTTGGGATGATACTGATTCAACGTCAATTTCTTCACATGTAGTGTGGTTGTTCGTTTGTACAGAATATGTGTATCAAGATAATTACTTTACAGTTTGATCACAGATGATAATAACTCAAAATTTTGTTTTGTTTATAGAGGCACCCGGTAGGAAAAAGTAGAGTTAAGCCAAAATATACTCTTGAGTTTCCAGACGAAGATGAGGAAGAGATGTACAGATCGAAAAATCTTCTAGGCTAGTAAAAAACTTGTACACATCAAAAAATATATTAATCTTTAGTCTAGCTAATATATTTTTATATTTATTTTTTATAAATAAAATTGATAAGTAAATTATAAATCCGTGATTTTTTTTCTAATATACAAATTTTGGTACTCTATAAACAAATAGCAACTTTTTTTGTCTCAAAGAGCATGTTTAAGTTTGTATCTAGAGGGGTTTACTAATTTTTTAGAAGGACCATTTTCTGTGATTTAAAGCAATCTATTTAAAATAAAATCTAAATATTTTTTATGTATTTAATAATTATATTCTAGCGCCATCTAGTCCTGTTTTGGATATAATGGCTTATTGTTGATAACTTCTAAAATTATGCTATTAAAATGTCGATATCAATAGAAGTGCGAAGAAAAACTACTTTTGTACATTCACAGCAAAATTTTATTTTACAAATTCGACTTACAATATAAGATTATATAAATTTACAAATTTCAAAATTCCAAATTGTGCATCATGGGTTCGATAATATATATAGGAATGATAATAGTGATTGTAGTAGTTGTTTCAAAATGTCAGATTGAAAATAACCAAAGCAGTAATAACTTTTAAATTCAAAAATAAAAATCACTAAATTAAAAAAATCTTTTTTCTGCTTTTTACAAATTGTATCGAAAAGACACACATTGAAACGATAATTTTGAAATTATTTATTTAATTTAATGTTTTTTTTTTTATTTTGTTTGGCGTTACATACATTTTTGAATATTCTTCAATTGGGTAATATTTAATACGCAAAAAGTTGGATAATATATATTTTTCCATAAAGAATAATATGCTTTTAGTAGTAAATATGCTATACTTTTCTTAGTGTGGATATTTTGATTGACTCATAAATTAAAGTAAAATCCGTTTTATCCAAACCGATTACAGTTTTTATTTCTATAATAATTATTTTTACTACCCAAAGCATATTTACTTACAGAAAAAACTTTTTTAAAACATAAAAAAATTATATATGTAAAAATTACGAAGAAGGCATAATTTTAAATAAAATTTCTCTATTGCTAAATTGTACCCGAATCTCCGAACTGCTTTGTGATAATTCATAACTATATTATTAACAAAATCAAGCAACCTTATACCGATGTTTAAAAACATTTGAAATACAATAAATATATTTTCGTATCAAACCAATTTCTAAAATCATATTGACACGAAATGAATGTTCTTATATTTTCCATTGTTTTTCCGAATATAACGTTGTTTAAAATAATTTCAAATACAATAAATATATTTACATACTAAACCAATTTCTAAAATCATATTGACAAAAAATAATTTTGCGAATATTTTGCCAGATGTCGCGTTATTATTTTTAATATATTATTAAATTTGTATTTCAATAGACTTTTCTTAAATTACATCTATTAGATTTATAATTTATCATTGCCAATTAACTTATATTGACCAGCTTGGTTTTAGCACAGTGCCTTGTGGGACACCTGCTTCAATTTCGGTCCCGTTTTATGTGTTTTTCGTGTGTCACCAGTAATTGCAAATTTGTGAAATTTTTGCAAATTGATTGTTAAAGGTGCAGCCGATATTTGTGATAATTTTTGTAGAAAACTCTTGAGTGATTAAATTATGATTTTTTCATAATGGTGAATTGTACCTCGTGTTTATAAGCTGTTAGCAGAACAAGACCATGCTGTTGAACTATTTCGCTGTTATAAATGCAATGAATTTTCTCACTCCTCGCGTAAATGCAATAAGGCTGTTTCCTGTCCTCTATGTGGAGAAGCATATGAATTGAAGGACTGTAAATCCAGCGTCAAAAAATGTAGTGGAAGATAGACATCCTGCTCTGGACATCACTTGTTACTGGAAAGTAAAAATTAACCGTAAAAACAAGCCTTTAATAATGCAGAAGACGCTTGTACATACTTTTATGGAAAATTACACAATATTCTTAATAAATGTTCCAAATTTTCCTGCAAGCCTCAAAACAAATATCCAGCATTGTTTAATAGAAAAATAATCAATCAGTTACACGTCAAAACTAATTTGTGGAAAAATGCAAACGAGAAAATGATTAAGAAGCCTTTAAAGACTTCAAACGTATAAGGGCTGCTTTAAAATTAGAAATAGACATTTTTACAGAGCATATATTAAAAAAAAACTGAACAAGAGATATCCAGTAATTCAAGTAAATTTTGGGCATTTATAAATAGTGAGAAATCACAATCCAAATCCCCTCAAATAATGTATTATGACAACAATTCACTGAAAACTCTATTAGGTATTCTCAATGGATTTGCTGACTTCTTCAGTCATATATTACCTCTAGCCCGTTTATTGCTAATTGAAATTTACGACTTAATATTCCTTTCCTTAATATCAATAGTTTTACCGAAAAAGAGGTATATAAAGCTCTAAAGTCTATTAATCCTAAATAGACAACTGGTCCAGATAATATTTCAACTTTCATTTTAAAGGATTGCGCCTTCCAGCTTGCCCCTCCGTTTGCCACCCTTAGAAATATATGCCTCAGGACATCAACAGTTCCAGATATTTGGAAGACCTTAAAAGTATGTACTGTTTTCAAAAAGGATAAAAGAGATATAACCAATTACAGACAAATATCTATAATATGCAATTTCTCCAAAACATTTGAAATTTTATTGTGTTAGTAAAATGCTATCAGTCAATCAACATGGGTTTATGAAAGGTCGCTCAACAGCCACCAACCTGGTTACCGTTACACAATACATTGCTGAATCTATTGATGAGCGTGCCCAGGCGGATGTCATCTTCACAGATTTCTCCAAGGCATTTGACAGACTTGACTACGGTATTTTTCTTGGAAAAATTACAGGGTTTGGGTTGTCTCCCCCTTTGATAAATCTCTTTCGGTGTTATTTAGTAAATCGTACTCAGTTTGTATGGCTTAATGGATTTAAGTCTGTTAAATTTGCTACAACATCTGGAGTTCCTCAGGGTTCCAATCTGGACCCGCTACTATTTAATGTTTTCATCAATGATATCTCCAGTGTAATTAATGAGCAGATGATTTGAAGTTGTACAAGCGTGTGACAAGTATTGGCGGCTGTGAACAACTTCACATGAACTTAAATCTAGTAGTTGAATGATGTAATAATAATAAACTTAAACTTAACTCAATTAAATGTAACTTCAGCCATTTTTTACGCATCTGTTATATATTTAAGGCGAAATGCTGCATTTATGAGGTAAGTCAATATTTAAAGCCTTCCGTGGCAGTTTCTTTAATATTTCTTCAGTAATAAGGTCACATCCAGGAGCTTTCTTCTTAATTTCATCCTCAACTTCATTGGGGATATTATCTAGCCTAATTTTAAGTTGTTCCAAATTATGGATCGTCTCGTTAGGAGTGATTTCATTTTCATTTAATTGGAACGTCTTTTGTAGGTGGTCATCGAAAATATCAGCTTTCTGTTGATAGTCTCTTACCCATTTGTTATCGGCTATTATGATAGGAGAGGACATTGGTTACACGAATTTTTATCTTTTTAGTTGATGCCTTCCAGAGCGAATAATCAGTTTCTTTATCATCTGTTAGCCCTACTAGGTATCTGTTAAAGGATTCTTTTTTGTGATTTAAGATTTCTCTTCTCAGTCTTTCAGCAGGGCCGCGTTAAGGGTCAGTGGCGCCCTGGGCAAACCCAAAAGCAGCGCCCCCTCATATATAACTGTTACATTTTTTTACCAGTTTTGATTTAGGAGGAAGTTTTTCATATCCCTTGAATCTTCAAAGAAAGTCGTCCCATTATTCATCACCTATGGATGCGCCGTGTTCCGGACTAGAAACCGGTAGCTAATAAATAATTTTGACGCATTGAGGTAGTTCTTGCACAAAGAGGAAAAGTCTATAAATCCTCAATATGCCAAGTGTTTAAAGCATCACGGACCACCCACCTACCACAAAACCGTTTGTCGTTATTATTCAAAAATATTTACATCTATTTACAACTAATTACAATGTTCTCCTTTTTTATTTGGTACATTATCTTGACCATCGATTACGATGTCTCTGTTCTTTGTAAGTTTTATTAAAACATTGCTTTTTTCCTGTATTTCATTCTATCAAATTCGTCAATAACACTGTTTAAGGGGGGGGGGGGGGTGGGTTGGTTCAGTGGTTAGAGTCATGACTCTGAGATCGGAAGGTCTCAGGATCGAATCCCACCGGTGGCAGGAATTTTTATTTAATTAAAAAATTAAATATTAATTCTAATGCATAGGTAGGATTCCCCACTCGACCATTCACTGTTGGGTTCTAATTAACAGTGCTGTTCCTAAAGTGGCGCTGGGAAACAGTAACAAAGCCTACACAGAACACGAGGCTAATGGCCGTAGTAGTCGACGCCGATGACACCAAATTAAAAAAAAAAAAAATACTGTTTAAGTCTACATTGGAAGTCACGTCACTTGCCGTATATAAAATCATTAGGCTGTTCAGTTTTCCCTCTCCCATAGTAGATCTCATTTCACTTTTTATTCTGTTAAGAGCGGGAAATCCTCTTTCTGCAGAACAGCTTGTTACGGGAATAGTTAAGAATATTCTCATGGCAATTTTCAGGTTCGGGAAAGTACTTTTTAAATCATTATTGCTAATGTAAGCAAAACATTCTTTTAAATATTTAATGTTTTCGAATTTCATGTACCCTTGGAAGTGTAGGCACTTATTGATAAGATAATCAATGTCAAGATCATTTGGATACAATTCAGCTAGCCTCTTTGCTTCTACGTTGATCTTATGTGGATCTTTGTCGTGAAGGTCTTTAAAAATTTCAAATCTAGTACCGAGAGAAGAGTAGCTTTCCATGCGATGTCTAAGTTGACCAGTTATGTTGTCGATGATTTTGATGTAAACACTAGTTCTAAATGTATTTCTTAAATTTGTCATTGCTGTCCCTATTTTCATCTGCAAATCATTTACGTGTTCTGTTGCGTTGATAATTGACGCTGTCTATATTACAAAGAGCCAATGCTTTCTTTTCGTATTCATCAAAAGATTCTCTATTGCTATTTAAATAAGTTTATAGGGTTTGTAATTATTTATTGGCGGAAAGAAGGTCCAAATCTTCTTTTTGAAGTTTGTTGCTGGTCTTATCTACTCTATCCAATTTATCATTCTAATCTATGAAAATAATGATTGTTTCTAGTTGACCCATTTTCTTTTTAAATTCCTTTGCGGATACTCTTGTTTCTGGTTTTTGGGAAACGTCCTGAGCCAGGCTTGTTTTATTTCTTTGTATCCCCGTACTAAGCTTTCGAGAGCATCTTGTCTCACTTAGTGATTTTGTCAAAGTGATTTTTGGTTCTTTCTCTTCCCTGGCGTGGTCACCCCCTAACCACCGGGCATCTGCCCCGTCTACCTGTCTTTCAGTAGTTCTATTTAATTTATTTTTATCTTCTGGTTATCTTGTTATCTGCCATTTCTTTCTTAGTTTTTGTTTTTCTGCTACCATTTCTCTTACCTCCACAGGGTAGTTTTTTCAGTTACTTTTTACTTTTGGTGCGTTCTTCCATGCAGCTTGCTGGATTGCAATATAAACCTTTCCAGTTCTTTATCCAGCTGATTTTTCGTTTTTAGTGTTATGATCAGTTGAATAGTATTTGTTAAGTTCAAAGTTTTTTCCACTTGTCTATAGTTTGGTGAAATTTGTCTCAGAATAAAGAAATCCAGAAGGTTTGGAATCTTATTTGGGTTAGTGGGCCCATAAGTGGGTTTTTCAGAATATTGCTATGTACAACAAAGTTCTGATGCAGCTCAGTGCAATTCTTTTCTTCTGACTGTGGTTAATCGTGAACCCCATATGGTATTTTTCGAGTTGTAATCTCCACCGATTATAAATTTGTTACCTAGTTTTGTGAGTACATTAAGATACTTTTCTTTTTTTTTTTGGCTGTCTTGGTGGGCAATAGATTGCAGCTATTGTAATTTTGCACCCTTAGTGTTAATGGTGCTAATGGAACTGATTTACTGGTTCTTGAATGTCTGGTTCTTTATAGTTTTTAATAATGCACTTCCTGCATAAGATGGGTAGATAGTATGATGGAAGTTGTATCCTCTGAATGTAATGTAAGACTCTATTTTTTGTACATCCATGAAAACTTGGATATTAGTTTGTTTTTGGAGAATACCACTGGTATTCCAAGTGGCTATTCTAATATATCTTTTGTCCATTGGTGGTTTTGTTATATAGATTTAAAAATTTTGGGTTTGTTCAATCATGAAACATATCGCTATGAGGTTGCATGTTTTTGTTTATTTTCCAGTAACAAATCGCAAAAAATTAACGCTAACTGACAACTAAACATACAACATTTAAATATATTAAATGACATATTATATCGGAAATATTTCGACAAAATGTTGGCACTCAAAAACAGTAATTATATTCTTAGAAGCTAAACACATATAAACGACTGTTTAAATATATATATTTTCTTTGGAAGATACAGGGAACATTCAGAAATTTTCAAAATTACTTACAGAAGGTTTTTTCGAGTAATTTTATTGGAAATACATATTTATTTTGGTTCATCAATAATTCACTATTAGAAATTTTGATGCAACCAAAATACCTAATGAAGTACTATTTTGGAAATAATATCTACCAATCACTTTTGTGTGCTGCAAAGTTTTATATATATTTTTTTTAACTCGAAAGGGAAAATTACCGTAAATTAGAGAAGAATATAAATGTTGATTCGCTTGAGATTTTCTAATTTAGGCAAATATAAAATGCTTATTGCCATGTTTGCTTTCTAAATAAAATTAAAATCTTGTTCATTCCAATTTACGGCAAATTTTTTAATTAGGATACTAATGAATATTATCTACAAAATTGTATTCATTTTATACATCAGATGTCCCAGTTAAAATGAAATAGATTAAACAAAAATATTTATACAGGGTGTCCGGGGAAATGTGGGAGGTCTTTCGGATTCAGATAGAACATTAAAAAATAAGATGACAAGTTGCCATAAATTGTTTTCCTAGCGGCCCTCCCTACGGAGATACGGCCTCCAAAAGGACGCCACTGGAAATCAATTTTTCTTAAATAACTTTTAAATTACGTAATATAATTTAATGAAAATTTAATATAATAAACAGTAGGAAAAACCTAATTAGATTGTTTAATTTACCAGGGGCAGACTAGGTTGTACATTTTAATGCTTACATTTTTAACACCCTGTGTGATAAGGAGTTAAAAAAAATAAATTTCGATACCTTAAAGAAAAGGTATAATGAAATAATGAATGAGTTATACGTACATAATTAGCCGAGTAAATATTATTTTATCTTTAGCTTAGTCAGCACTTTAAAACTTATAAATATATGTAACTTCTTTATTCTTCATGCATTCTTCTTTATACTTTCGACACTAGCGTTGTAAATCAGGAATTAAAGAGTTTTTTAAAGAAACGGTTTTTCTCAAAAAACCTTAATTGGCGTAGTCAGTAGGATTTGCGTAGGCTACGAAAAACACAATTAACGTTCACATCGTGCTAACAGTGATTTTCTATATACTTTGGCCGTTTTGATGCCTTTAGTGCGAATTGAACTTCCCTGTGGGCTACGACAATCCCATTGAGGAACAAGCTTCAGTGGAGAAGTCAGAAGAATCCGAGAAAAGGAATCAAGGATCTGCAGCGTCCACCAAGGAACTGTACAAATACCAATACACGTTCAACCAATTCCAGAAATAAATAAAAAAATATTTCACCAATCGTCAAGTTTTTGGGGAAAACCTAAAACCCCAAATAATTTTTAAACCCAATCAAATTAATTCAAATCAATTACCCAAACCAGAACCTATGTCAGCTATCTTTCGAAACCCATCACTTATGAAAAACGTAAATAATAATCAAAGACAAAACTATTTTCAAAATAATTAAAAACCAAATTTTTCATTTGAAGAATTAAATAATACACAAACAAATTTTAATAAAAGTTTTGATGATACTGCTTATCAAAACTATGCTTTAGAAAATGAATGTGAAATATACACAGATGAATAAAATTATGATGATAATCAACAATATAATTATAAAAATGAACCAGAAAATGAAACGCAACAAGTTGAACATTTTCGAAAAGCCAGCCTTGCAGAAACAATCACATAGTAAAAATGATTAATTATAGTGCAAATAATCCACTATCATATGTAGATATTAAAAACCCGCCAATGAAACTTCTTATTGACACTGGAAGTTCAAAATTAATAATAAGACCATTCATTATAGAAAAATATTTTTCTGGCACAATTTATCTTGCAAATATAACATTGAAAACATCGCTTAAGGGTAAACAGATCAGATATCAGGCAGATATCCCAACATTCGCAGAATTTAATTGCCAGAACGTAATTAATTTCATTGTACATGATTTTCACGACTTTTTCGATGGTGTGTTGGCCTTACCGACCTAGTTAACATGAATTTAAATATAGATTTAATAAACAAGAAATTAATAAGTTGAAATTTTGTCCAACAGTTTTTTGAGTTTTTCGGGATATAATCAAGACTAGATTTTTAGCATGTAGGTATAATATTTGCATGATTTTTCATCAAGTATATCAATTTTTGGTTAATTTATTAGCAAACGCGTAGCAGTGTTTCTTTATTTGCCAAAATTACAAAAAATTGACAAAATGCATCTAAAAAGTCCTTAGTTGTTATACCCTTATCATTTGCAAAAAGTGCATCAACTACTTCCTGAAGATTTTCCTCGAAGAATCCAGTTCGCAAACTGGCTGTTATATCAGCAACGAACAAACGGAAACTTCATTAGCACTATTCTTTTTACCGATGAAGCAGGGTTTACCAAAAATGGTATTGTAAATTTACATAACTGGCATGTATGGACTGATGAAAAGCCTCATGCCACTGTTGTTCATCATTAACAAAATATTCAATAATTCGTGAAGTTCCAATCAATTAATGTTTGGGCAGGAATAATCGGTAATTTTTTGATTGGACCATGCGTATTGCTGCCACGATTGAATAATGAACTTCATTTACAGTTCCTGCAGAACGCTTTTCTGGATTTAAACTGAAGCCAATCGAAACATGTATTTTATGCATTATGGAGCCCCGTCTCACTTTGGCGTCGCTGTACGAGACCACCTGAATAACGTCTGTCAAAACCGTTGAATGAGCAGAGGAGATTCAATTGCCTGGCCTCCACGGTCTCCCGACCTAACGCCAATGGATTTTTAAGGAACACCAGTTTGATAGATTATCAAAGTCAGAATGGTTTTCATAATTAGGAAAACTTTTAAATCATCTGCAAACAATAGTGCTTTGCCATACTGAAAACAATGCATGATGTCATTTATAAATAAGTTGAATAATAAGGGACCAAGGTGTGATACTTGAGGAACACCTGATGTAACTTGAAATGAGTTAGAATAGTGATGGTTTACTCTAACCATTTGAGTTCTGTTCGTAAGATAGCTATTAATTCATTGCAGTACGACCCCATTTATGCCATATTTATCGACCTTTTGAAGTAAGAGAGAATGGTTGATCCTGTCAAAAGCCTTAGAAAAGTTAGTGTAGACAGAATCAATCTGGTAACCCTTCTCCAAAGCTTCCGACAGGAAGTCGACGTAGGTAAGTAGATTTAGATTTAATTAAATCGATTTCCCAGCACAAAAATCATATTGATGATCCGTTATGATGCCGGAGCAGTCATAGGTAAGGTAGTCTGTTATAATGTTTTCAAAAACCTTAGGTATAGTAGTGAGAATAGATATAGGTCGGTAATTTTTGACACCTGACTTGCTACCCGATTTGTATATTGGGGTAACATAAGATAGTTTCCAATAATCTGGAAACTCACCCGTGGCGATACATTTATTGAAAATATAGAAGAGAGGGCGAGACAATACGAAGCTGCAATTTCTGAGTAGGATGGGAGGAATAATGTCAGGACCTGGACCTTTCTTTATGTCAAGTTTAGATAATTTCTAGTAAATGGTCGAAATAGGAATGTGGTAAGAGAAAACATTAAGTTTTGATTCAATATCGTTAAAATAAAAATTTTGATTTACATTTTGATTAGTGTAAACTGATGAAAAATGCTTGGCAAACAGATTTGATACTTCACTGCCACAAGAAGCAAAAGAGTCTTCTGTTAAAATAAGTAAGTAAGTACTTGGAGCGACATCTGTCGGTTGGTGGTTGAATGAATTTGAGTGGAAGGAGATATATTGAGGGGTTCTGCATTTACTTTAAGTATAGTTATAAGTAGACTGTGTAAGATGGCGCAATGTTTAAGGTTGGTAGAAAGATAGATGTTTTACGACAACGATGGTAAGCCTGTTCTGTTCTTGTTCGTTACAAAAGACCGTTATAATAATTTTTAAGTTTAAACTAAAATATGTACAAAGAAATAATGTATTATAAGTGTAATAAAGTGTAAATAGCATATGAAGAGCTTTATTAATGCCTATAAATATAATGAAGAAATAATAACATCTTCAAGGTTCATATTATCAGGTATGGCGTTATTAGATCTTTTGGTACTTACAAAATTTCAAAAGGCTTTAACATTACTTTTAACAGAAGTTTTAACAGAATGAATGTAATTTGAATAGCATTCTCTAGATATAATCCTGCATTGTGATCTTAACTGACTGAATATTTCATAATTTTGGGGAGTCCTGTTTAGCTTGTAAATCTTATGTGCAACCTTTTTATCGTTGACCAAGCTTCTGAGTTGAAAAGTTGAAAATGTGGGAATCTGTTTATAACAAATTTCTTTAAGGGAACAAATAACTCAATTACCGAGTACAAAGCGGCATCAAAAGTAAGAATCATTTCTGAAAGTTCCTTTCCTTGAAGAAGCCCATCCAAATCCATTGCCTCCAAACATTGGCGTATACCCTCAAAATTGTCGTGGCGAAAATTATAATAATACTCTTCTCCAGAAGCATCACTGGAGTTCGTCTTATATTGAATTGAAGTTTCAAGAGGAGAATGATGTACATCAGGTGGAATTAATATATTAACGGCTACCATCACTGTTCCACCGGGGACAAAACAAGGTCGAGGATAACTCCTCTTTAGTTGAGCACCTTGTTGGACTGGACGAGACGATTTCGATAGCACCTTCTTCCGATACTGATGAACTGGGATGAGCTGAAGCTAAAGAGTAGAAATCTTCAATATCCCATGTTGCTGCAGGTAGATTATAATCGCGCTGTAGGTAGATTATAAACGCCAAAAATGTAAAATTGACTGATCGGATGTTGCTCATTTAGCATTAAAAGTTGATCAAAGTGAAGTTGGTATAGATTAAAATGAGGTTTAGGAGGCATATATATGGCTCCTAAGATATGTTTGCAGTTTCTGTGGTCCAAGTGAATAAACAGTTGCTCAAAAGATGGGTCAGAATTTTCCTAACAGCTATTAAAACACCTCCACCTCTGCTAAAGTTGTTGGACTGGGGAGAACGATCCTGTCTGTAGATGTTATAACCGTTAAGAACAAGGAAGGCGTCGTTGATGTCAGCTGTCAGCCATGTTTCAGTAAGAATAATTACATCGTAGGAAGAATTTGTAACATTGAGACATAGTTGGGATAGTTTTATTCGAAGGCCTCTAACTTTCTGGTAATAAACAGTCAGCTTGCTCGAATCTAGTTTTTTGTAATAATTACAGGAGTATTGTTGACATACTTAATTGTTAAGTTTAGCTCAATAACTTGCTTCTGGAAGTGTCTAAAGTTTTCCTTTGGTTAGGAGTTTGGTCCAGATGTATAAAAATCTTTCTATCGCGGCTGATATTGTTTGTTTTTGATAATGGCGTGTCGTCACGAGTTGATTTCAACTTAACTTCAAGGGGTCGATGTCCATTTTTAGTAGTCTTTCCAAAGCGGAAAACTTTGGTATCGTTAATGTTAGTGATATTAGCACCAGCAGCCTTTGGTAATAGAGTTTTGACTTGATTAAGATCATCAGAGACATTGTTTGGCTCAGGCAGGTTAAAGATTAGCAAGTTGTTAACTCTCTTTTGACGTTCGTGAAGTTCGGTAATAATGTCCTCACTAATCATCGGGATG